TACGATGTGATTATTAAACACAACAGTACATTAACAATTAAATAGTGGATGCATTAGGAGCAGATGTGAAATCATAATCACAGCTTCTACAATAGTCTACAGTTTTTCAGGCAGAATTGATGGTGTGAAGTGAAAAAAGCCAAGTCTTTGACATCACTTCAGGATGAAGTCATCGAAAAATGTGACTCTCATCAACTGCTGGCATTCACAGACATTCTGCCAGTTAGTAACACAGACAATGCAACGGGTCGGCATTTTATGACATACAAAAACATCTGCAGCATTTAACTCGTCAGCAGTCTGCGGATGTAAGCAGTAAAATGAGATACAAGGGTCCTTTTTCATGCTATACACTAAATAGTGCCGCACAGCAAGAAAAGCATAGGGACATTACATTATTGCTAATGGATGTTTACCAGAAATGAAGAGACTGTAAACCATGTATGTCAAAGACGCAATATCTGAATAGATTTACAGTAAATGGTGACAGAACAATCCCATAGAAAGCATTATTCCATTGTATTGACCTTTGACATGCTGTTTATTTTATTCTCGCATGCAACCTTGCATTTAGTGCAACATAAGAATAATGTTACAATTCCTGTGCTGACACTGGTAAACTACAATTGAGGATAGATCATGTTTTGATAACTGGTGAAATTATGCTTCAGATTTAAGGGTATTTTCTATTTTTGTTCAACGAGGCAGCTTATTTTTTGTACAATTCAAAGGTGTATAAAGGCAATGTGAGCTCAGTTTAAGATGTATATATATTTTGGAGCAATTAGCAACTGTGATCAAATGTTCACCAGAGCTTCTCATCGAAAATGATTCCTGTATCCTTTAGGTCTAACAAACACATAGTGGTAATATAAGGCCTATGTCAAAATAATGTTGCATCTTATGTCTATTTCTAACCACTTTACCTCAACCTCGATGTGAAGGAGAACTCATAATGACTCATTCATTGCTACAATGTCCTGCTCCAAGTGTCAAATTCCGATAACATCAACTTTTTGCAACTTGAGGGCGATTTTATGAATGAATGTCTGACATCCAGTTTTGCTGTGCTGGTTGGCTGAAGAGAGGAGCAAAGAAAATCTCAACGTACAGTATGATTCACCACAACAAAGTGTTAGGGAGGGGGTGATGATGTCATTGGTGGTGGTGGGAGAGTCATGTGTGAGTCAGAGAGGGAAAAGATGAGGAGGAGATGGAGGAGGAGGAAGAGGATAAGGAAGAGAGCATGGTGTGGGGTACCTGCTGTGTGTGACCGATGGTAACAGGCAATGCTGGCCTGTGGATGACTCACCACTGCTTTACCAACCTCCAACACACACACACACACACATACAAAAGCAAGATATTGTAGAGGGGGGGGGGGCCAGAAGGATCCTTCTTATAAGCATAATGTATGCTGGGGGGGGGCTTTTGACATCACACACATGTTTAATGATATCAAAGTGGCATTACAAGCATGTAGTCTTCTACACAACATACACACACGTCGCCGGCAAGACGTACACACAACCACATGCACATAGACGGCAGGCGCATGCATATATGCACACACACACACACACACACACACACACACACACACACACACACACACACACACACACACACACACACACACACTCTCACACACCACACACACCACATGCAGTGCAAGGGAGAGGAGGGGAGGGTAAGGATGACTCATACATCAATGATAACACCCCTCCTCCTTTCCCAATCAGACACACACACGCACACACGCAAAGACAAAAAAGAAGAAGGACATAATCATTTGGATGCAACCCACATCCTGGGGAACCTCCCATCTGAAACTCACACTGACAGCAGGAGGCCCCGACTGAGTGCAGTTTGTCTAAGGTGATGGGAATTCTCTGGCAGGATATCCTCACTTAAATAAATATGATAAAGTCAAAATGTGATATGCCGGTATTTCTGTACGTGTCTTTATATTCCAGCCCTTATCTGTTTATATCAATTTTTCGCGGTTAAAATAAATCTGAATACCTTGGTATAATTTATTTGGAGAATAGGAGCTTGGTGGGGACGGTCGTCACTAATATATGTCTCTCAGAGTACTTAGAAATTCCCTCCAGTTAACAGAATAGATATTTTTAGAGCAAAATGTTTTTCTATCTTTGTCTTACCGTGGCGGATAAACATGTTACAAGTGATTTTTCCACAGGCCTTTTACTCGTTCCACCGTCTGCCTTTCTGAGAAAACTCTGACAGCTGTAGCTCCATTTGTACTGAACAGTGCCCTCTGGAAGACCTATTCGCACTACACGCTGGTGCTGTTTCCACAGTGGATGTTCTTTAATGTCGTAGTGTTCCTCCTACACTTATACCAACATGGACTATGTCTGTGATTTGTTTTATAGTATGTATCATCAATTTGCTTTCAATTAATTTAGCTTGTGTTAAAATAAAGTACATTTACTTGATTTGGACACATTTGATCCAAGGGTTGCATAATGTGTAATGTTCTTAGTATTAATTAATAATTAAAGGCTAGTTGGTGTTTCTAATTTGATGGGTCCCTTATGATGGGGGGGGGGGGGGGTTTACACCACTCTATTGTGGTATCCATCTTCTCACTGAAATCTCAACCGGAAAACAAGTATATTCCCAACCACTTTTACTTTGATCCTAGCGAAAAGATTATCACTCAGCTATTTTTAGAGGCATTAAAAGTAGGTATTCTTTGTGGAAGACATTTTGACATATCACAGCAAGAGAAATAGATGTTAATAATACAATTAATGATTGCAAAAGTTGTTTAAGATTTATGGCCCTGACATTTTGTATGCTTGGCTCACTGTCATAACTGGGACATTTGAATACAATAGAGCCATCTTTAGTCAAGTCAAGTCAAAATGTCTGCTGTGAAAAGTCTTATTCTCAAATAGTGAATTTGTTAGTAAATTAATTGTTTTTTAAATGATGCAGTCGAATTGGGGCCAAATCATTTTTGAACTAGTCTACAGTGCACCATATACCTGTCTGATAAGCCCTTAAAAAACGAAATCTCTGAACATGAGTCGTATCCCAGGCAAAAGGATTTAGTCCGAAACATATTGTACTACTTTATCGACTATTGTAAATCCAAAAAGCTTGAACCAAAAGTCTGTTTTACAAAAGCCAGAAAGCCAAAGCACTTCTCTTTGGAAAGATGGCTCACTCCCAAGCTCACTGTAAATCAAAAAGGCTCCTCTTATCTTTTGATAGCTAAAACATGCAAGCAGTGCAGGCACTTGGCTAGCACACATAATTCCCATCAATTACTCAAAGAAATACTTCCGTCTCTGTAAATCTAGGGCAGCTGACAAGACACAGACAGCTCTTGGCACAATGGAGTAATTTTATGAATGACATCTGGATAAGGAGAACACCTGGACTGTGTGACCCCGCTGAAGCAGAGCAGGAATGACTTTACAGAGGGAAGTGGTCTGAGGCTGAATCTGTGGAAGATTTGCATGATAAGGAATTTGGTTGTTTGTGTGCCTTGCCAGAATTTACAGCTGAAACACTGTCAGCAATTAAACCCGTCCGCACCTGGCAAAATGAAGTTTGTTTTTCCAAGGTCATCTGGTGACGTGGTGGTTCAGTGGATTGGAGTTGATGGTCTGGAGAATAACCTCTACTCTATTTGTCTCTTACTCTCTCCCACTTTTGTACTGAGCAAAATTGGAAAAATGAACAGAAAAAGACTTGAGTTATTAGTTTCCAAAATCTGAGACGGTTGGAAGTTCACATTTTCAGCCTCAGAGCCGCTGAACATCTGTGATTTCTGACCAACAGCTGTTTCTGTTTTTCCCAAAGTGCACAGCACAAAAGAAGAAATGACTTCAGGAAATCTGATTTTTTTTTAAAGTACCAGTGGTGCTGCAACATAGAAGTAAAGGATCTATAGTTTAAATGGAAGAAAATTATTTGTTAAACAACATTAAACAGTTGCCTTTCAGTATGCAGTCAGTTTCCTGTCATCAAATCACACATACTGGCCTTCTCAAAATGATTGACAACATGGCATGAGTTTACAATTAATATCATTTAGAATGGATCAAACCAAGCATGAACATCTGGATCGCTCTGGCTTCTATGTGCTTCTCTTGGGAACGCTCTATTACATGATGTAATATGATCATTTTTTGTGAATTAAGAGTGACATTTCCCCCTCTGTGCCCTGTGCCCTGTGAAAGATAACCTGAATGGAGCTAAAGTCATGTAAACTGAGCACCACCAGAGGCCAATATCCAACCAGGATGATGTGACACTATGCGACAGTAAAAGTTTCAGTAAAACCAAAGAGACAGATTCAGTTGGTGTGACATGTCTTCCAGGTGGAGGGACCGTAACTTCCTGCTCCAACTGCTGACATGTATAATTAGCCACCACCAGTAAATCATCTCACTATGTACACACACCTCTCCTGTGTGTTAAATTTAGCATGGCTAAAAGTATGTCAGTAACTGAACATCGTGGTCAGCTCAGCTTCCTCTCTGAGGACTGTTGGATCTCCACCTTTCTCTAGCCTCCACATGCTGGCCAAACGTTGGTGTAAAATACAGAACATGGAAGATTGTTTTTTTTATTTAGGTCATGTAAGGTTTAAATTTAGTCTAAAAACAATAAATCATCCACTTAAACGATATATACTTTATGAAATGTCTTGACATCTGTCTGATTTAGGTGTTTCAGTCTTAATGATCCTTATAGGCTTTTATTTTGAAATGCTGTTGCTTTAAAAAAAGAAATCTAAAATAGACACACAACAGCATGGAAAAATTGAAGGAAATGTTTATATGTCAATGTTAAATAAAATCAAGCAGTAAGAGAAAAAGCTCCTCTTTTCATTATTATCAATATCTATCTATTTAATTTTTCTGATTTCTGAACTAGCTAAATTGAAATGCCTGTTATATCATGTACTTTTTTTAAACTGGAAGCTAAATGTCATTTGATAAAAGCTCAACAAAACATGTCCTTTTACAGTTTATTTCAAAACATTTTCCAAGCAAGATAATTTAAAATTGCTGTAAAAAAAAAGAAGTAATTCTGCTTCCACTAGAATGAGAGTTAACAGGAACAGAATGACTCTTTTGATATTTCATTGTAACATCAAAGGAAACGATCACACATCCCTTCCTCTTCACAGGGAAGGGTTTTTAAATAACATCTGGCAATACGATAATTATTTCCTCATTGGAAACCATTGGGATGACTAAGATAGGGTGTCGGAATCATTTATTTAACAATTTTATTATGTCTATTTTCACATTTGAATCTCGTAACTAGAAGCTTTTTTTAATCGCTATCACTCTATATTTGCAGCTTTACATCTCCGCTGACATACATGTTTTTGTCCATAGGGAAACAACACTCTTGATTAGTACTGTAGTAGGTAGTAATTCCTAAATACATGTGGAATAAATGCTCTAGGGGAAACCCCGGCTCCCGTGCTCTTTAATACATTAATAACTTTTTAGCCCAAGAACCCAAACATCTAATGATTTCCCTTTTCAGTCTTGTATTACCTGAATTCATACACTAATTCACAAGGGACCAAAAGCATTGGTCAGAAGGATTATATGCACATTAAACTTGAAATATTGTTACACACTGCGTAAATCAACCCATAATACCAAAATGACCCACTGCCCCTGGGCTGAGAAAAAAACAAAACATCTTCTGGTAGTAGACATGGTGAAAGATAACACAAACAAGACTGCCCCCTGGAGGTTAAACAGGAGCACAGTGCATGCTGCTGCTACCAACAGGCAGTAAATAAGGCATTCATTTATCAGCACACACTTCATAACTGCAAATAGCACTTGACAGTTCACCACTAACAACTGAAGGATTTTACTGATTTCTCAGCAGTCACTATTTCACACCAAGAGGAGACAAAATATGTATTGTCCAAATCATATAATCAGAGGTTTAAAAAAAATGTTCTTTTCTGCCTTCTTGAATGGAGAAAGCCAGACCGCATGTTTCAAGGAAAAGGAGAAAAACAAATAATGATGGAAATCTGATGGATTGAGAGTTTAGTAAATGAAGAGGACTCGGGTGCGGGGCAGGGTGGAGAAGGTGTCAGCCATCTTGCGGATCCTGGCGTAGTTGATGAATCCTCGAAGGAAGAGCAAAAAGCCTGAAAAGCACAGAGAAAGGGACAGTCAGACACCATTTGATGTGCTATACGGAACAACTATAACTTAACGTAAGCAAAGAAGGGTTCAATACTGCACTTCAGCAAAGATCAGCATGAAACATTTTGTTTATATAGGAGAAATGCATTCTGGATTCATTTTGGAGAAATTCTGCAACTATTGTGCTTTGTTTTAGGAGGAAATTAATTTTGAATAAATTAAACTGATGAAATACAAACAGTTGTCTATCTAATAAGGGTGATAATAAAATACACAAAGTTATTCAATCAATTTGTAATATTACATTTTGATTAACATTTTTTACTTTGGCGAAAAACACTTTCTCTCCAATACGGTAAATGACAGTCTTTATCGACACCTCAACACTAATGCAATGGAGCTCCAGAGAACAGAAACGTGTCACAAGCCAAACGTAAGCATTTGATTTGATTTGGCTACTTACCCATGACCAGGAACACCCACCACAGCCAATACTGTCCGTCAAAGTAACCAGGGAAGTATGTGGAGAACTAGAAACCCAACAGGACGATACAAAGTAGTGGTTAGAATAAATATGGCCTTCACTGGTCTCACTCTAATGAGTCCTGCATTTTAACAGTGAATGAAGAAAGCAGTGTACTTCTCAAAAGAACTAAGCAGTGTCAAAAAGCGACAAAAACAACACAAATATACCTTCTGAATAATTGATTGTATTTTAAGTCACATTTGACGTGTTTGTACGTGTGCTGTGTTTGAGTGTCTGTGTTGTACCCGGACAATGAGGATCCATTTAATGAGGGAGAGGCCAAAGCCTGAGATGGCACCGTAGCGTCCCGCTGCTGAAGTGGTCAGACAGAAAGACAGGAAGAAGCCGATCCAGTTGAACAGGAATGCCACTGGACAAAGAATAAAAGAGAAAAGAAAGAGTAAGTCATGTCATCCCAATTTTCTTTTTATCAAAGTAGAAAAGCTGTAGATGAATAAGGTTGGGTGAACAAAAGAAAGAGACAAACAGTGGGTCAACTAACTGAAAAAAGTGAGCATGAAGATGCCATCATTTCCTATCCTCAGCTGATCAGCGTCTTCAAAGTCGTCTCTGGCCACAAAGTCTTCATCCTGAGATAGAATAAGCGACAGTTTTAGTTTTTAAGATTGATTTAACCAACTCACAATGTTATATTTAGCATTTTACAAGTACAGTGTACAATGAGATGTAGGTACATGTTAGAAAAACACAGGCAAACTTTGTTCAGCTTTGGTGGAAACCAAGCTTTGTTCACGACAGAGATTAATACAACACAAACAACCAACAGAACAATGGAAAACCACAACACAACAAACCTGTTTACCATTCAAACCACTACTATCATTGTCACCTAATTAAAAAGTCAGTTAAATGCAATAGGCTATCAGGAGAAACCAGTAGAGGTTGTCTACCTAACACAGCACCAGGTAGCACTCTGAATACACAAACACACAAAAGGGTGGTGGACTGAACACATAAACACTGTCGGTACAGCTGCAGTTTCCCACACCAAATACACTTCCTCTCATCATACACTCTCCTCCCAGTTACCTCCAGTGAACTGCGAATTACATCATCAAAAGTCTCCGGGCGTTGAAGCTGCTGCTGAGCGCAAGGCAGTGTGTGGCAGAGAAACACAACACCAGCAAATCAAACACAGTGGCCCACATGCAGAACGGTGCAAAGCATCACAATGACCACTAGAGGTCAGATAGGAGCTGTCTTTTTCCACATGATATTTCTAACAGAAACAGTAGTTTTTATAGGAATGTATCATTTCTTATAATTAAGTCAGAGTGCCTCGGATATGACTTTGTGAATTAAGCCTACTCACAGCGGGATGGATTACTGGTATTGTTATTAAACAGTTATATAGGCATTAAATGCAAGTAATGGCATTCGGTTTGCACGTGAGGTTTGCTTTGCCCTTTTTAAATAAAAAAGAAAAACTAGGGCCTACACTTAAACTTGAAAGACACATCTTTTGCATCAGTAAAAGACCATGGATATCTCTCCAAGCAGTTTTATGTCCTCATAGCAAAAAGAATAGTACAGAAAAATAAGTCTTTAAGTCTGAAGCTCCCTGTCTGTTTCTAATGCTGAACCAGTATTTACTCAGATTTTGGAATAACAAACTCCGGTACAAAGTGCACAGGGGCAAGTTAAAAGCCTGACAGACAGACTGAGGCATTGAGGGCAGAGAAGGCTAACAAAAAACCTCACCCATTCAAAGCGATCCTTTAATAGGAGTGATAATAAATGTCTGTATCAATATCATATTGTTAGAACAGCAACATAATCTTTGCAGTAGTAGGAAAGAGAAAGAGGCAGACTCAGAGTTTTCCGAAATTTGAAGACAAAAAAATGTTCCGTTGCCGGGTGCTAACCACTTCCTTGCAGACAACACAGGAAGTGTTTGAGCACAAGCTAGTGTGTGTGCGTGCGCGTGTGCGTGTGTGTGTGTGTGTGTGTGTGTCCACAGGCTATATGCAAATAAAGTGAGACACTCACTCTTCCGGTTACCAGGGGAACACTGGTCTCAGCCTTGGTTCTTTCTGCTTCATCATAGGAAGGTAGGGTAGTCGCTACGTTGTACGACGGAGGCTTGGGGAAATCCCCATCTTCCTTGTAGTCAAAGAAGGCTGAAGAAGAAACAACACAAAAATAAAAAGGAAGAAGTTTCACTAGTACACGTTGTATTTTGTATACATTGAGAGCAAACTGGTTATTGCATCAGCAAATTACTGGTCCTGCCAAAACTAGAGCCACTATTAAACTTGCATTGTTGTTCTTGTGCTTGTTTACTACAGGCAGGCAGCTCTGAAAGTGGAGACCAGCCTACTAATCCCAACTGCCAGCAAACGGACTTAGATTACAAAAAGGTGCTGTTTACGCAATCAAAACAAAGCTCTCTCGTGATGTTTTGGCCAAGAAGACATCGTCGACTGGCCTAAAGTGCCCATCTAACTGAAAAAGGTATAAATCACTAACCAACTAAAAAGTATTCTGAAAGCAACTTGTATTTATATAATCTGACTAAAATAAAAAAGCTCTTGAACAAGTAAAGGTGCCAAATTTAAAAGGCTACATATTTTATTGGAAATTTGTGTTAAAACAAGATTGAGGGAAACGGATCCAAAATTAAAAGGATATTTGAATTTGGGGACAAACTAAAAAATAGCCAAGACATCCCTCAATAAAGAAATGTAAATCTAATCTATGTGTGTATTTTTTTATGTATCCTTTTGAAGCTGTTAAGTTTATACTTCAGTGTTAATGTTCAGACTAACACAAATATGGCTTCCCAATGTGCCACCGATGTAAATGACCTCGGTACAAGGGAAACATCTGGACAAGTCAGGGTCTTACCAGCATTGTCCCCGGTGATGCTGCTGTATGGGGGGGGGGCATCAGCGGCTGCCTGTGGACTCTCCTCTGGGTCCTCCTCATTGGGAAGCTGTGGGAGGGGGAAAAAGCCATCCTGGTTTATTTAGGGCTACAATACATGTGTGTCAGCACTTGCTCATCTCAATTAGAATCAGATGTTTTAAGAAGCTTTAAAATGCCTGTGTAGCAATAAATGATTTTCTCAACACCCTGGCATACTTAAAAGAACCCACAAACCAAACATCTATCAAATAAACAGAGGAGAAGAATGTCATCAAGTCCCACATCAAAAACTGTTTTTAAATGACATCTGAACATTTTAAAGAGGAAATGAGCATTTACAAGGATTACAACATATTTCTCATTCCTCTTTCTTTTGTTAAAAGTAGGAAACATGTGACTGCCAAAGCTCAGCCAGCCCTTACCCCTGATTCAGCTAAACAAGATTTGTTCAAACCAAGCTTATTTGATCATAAACCCTGTTTACAGGAAAGACCACTCAAGTGGTGCTGCATACCAAAGTACTGACACACTGGGTCCGCAGAGGTATCAATTACAGATAACAACACCTTAGGTGTCCTTGTGACGTTTCATTGTTCAGTTCCCATGGTATTTCTTATGATAACTGGAACTCAAATCTTATCATAAATGGGTGTGATTAGATTTAGAAGAGAACGGGGGAATGTGGTATACTGTATCTGTCAACTGATGCATTTCCAAATGGCTTTTCTGGCATAAACAAGCAAGTCCTGTAATAGTCATTGAGATTACCTGAACAAGCAAGAATATGAAACGTGTTTGATGACTTGCTTAATCCATGGGGGGTAATTATGAATCCTTCAAAACATGAATGAAATGTGTATTTGTGTATTCATTGAGCACTTATTACCTCTGGGAAATAATAGCTGTTTATAAACTCAACACACCATCAATCATATAAAGATAAGATAATATAGATTATGCTCCTAACACTTTCATGTTTCTCTTTTGTATGATTCAAATACAATCACTGACAGGCTCAATTCTCGTCACCTACAGGAAATTATATATTTATTTGACATAACAGCAGTGGTGGAAAGTAACTAAGTGCATTGTATTGAGTATCAACATTGAAATACTTTTATTTTACTTGAGTATTTACATTTAATGCTACGTTATACTTCTATTCGACTCAACTCATAGGTAAATATTGTACTTTTACTACACTATATTAATTTAAAATCTTAGGTAGGTTAGCTTTTAACATAATGTATCTCTTAAAAATAAACTAGTGGACTAACTGTTAAAGATACAAAAACAAATTGAATTATCCAACATATAATACAAATGTCAATTTTGTATGTAGAGTAAAAACTAACATGCTTATTAATGCAAAAATGTATGTCACATATACTGAATATTTTATAATAAATCACACATGGAGGCCATTTTTCTGGAGAATTACTACATTTTGCTGATAATACTTCTGAACTTTACTTGAGTAGGTACTTTTACCTGAAATGGAGAATTTTACCATTAACGTATTGGTACTTTTACTCAAGTAAAGAATACTTCTTCCACCACTGCATAACCGTTTCCAATACATCTTCACATTAATCTTCCATCAACCACATAATGAGCAGCAGAAACAGGAGTCACACCCACTAGGAGGTCATGTGCTTCATCCTAACATTAGCATGTAGGGCCAGGGGGTCGTCGATAAGTGTTGAATGAAGAAGTTACACCTTAACCCACAATGCTAACTAGCTAGCATCCAGTCAAAAAACCAGAGATAAAAGCGCCCCAATAGGCAAACACGTTCACATTCTTGTAGAGAAAAAACAAGGAAACGTTAGCGTCAAGTTAGTAATGCTAGCTTGGTGTTAACGGCCAGCTATACCCAATACAAATAACAAAATTAACCTTATTAACGCTAATGATATCCCTAAATAGAAAACCCCCACTATCAAGGATGTGACACAACCATAGATTGGACACAACCCACACGCCTGGGAGAGCTACTTTAATCTAACAGTATACAGCTGACGTAAACGTGTCATGTTAAATTATAACGTGTTATCCATTAGCAAGGTTATAGTATCCTCATACCTGCTGATATCTGCCGCTCGGTTCGGCCATTCCGCTTTGAACGGCTGGGAATCAACAACAGAGAAAGCCACCCAACGAAAACGAAATTATATAAGAGTACGAACTGTAAACTCAATGGAAACCTGTTTCTCCCTCGACTGCTTGGTGCTCTCATACAGCTGTCAAGTTACAGTATTTGGTAGGATACACTACCTGACTTCCGGTTAGACATTTAAAATAAAATCCCGATGGAGAACTATGAGCAGTAAATATATTTATTTGTGTTGTTGTTGTGAAGTACTAGGTTTTTTCTAATCTATTTCAATGAGACTTTTTAATAAAAAATGTTTTTTGTTTTTGTAACAAAGCAACAATTACAATGCTTTTATTTTGAAACCAAAACAGAGCCGTTTCCCCTAAATTCTTGCTATTTTGACGACTGTTTTTGCTGGCATATCGATTGACGTCATAGGCCACAACAAACTCGTTGCCGCCCCCATTAGGAACAAAGTGATATTAATAAAATAATCATAAGAAAAACGTCACTGAAGAATTAGCTGGGAAATGTTCTAATAATGAGAAAAAGTCATGCATCATCAGGGGTGGAGGAAGTCCATTAATTAAATATAGGCCACTGGTATCACCACTGGTGATCAATTTAGCATAAACCAATGTATTTATCATTTTCATGATTAATCTGTTTGTTATAATTGTAATGATTAATCTAAAAGTAAAAGTTACCAAATGAAGTAAAAGTATGATATTACATGAAACAGCATGAATTATCACATGACACATTCAATTTAACTTAAAATACAGTTAGAAAATGCAGCACTAGAACAAATGTAATTGGGTCTTGTAAGGTTTTATTGTAGCTTTATATAAAATCAAAAGACAACAACAATTCCTGTGACACTTTGAATGCAAGCTTAAGAGTTGGAGAAGTTTATCACAGATTAATTTCTAGTCAAGTTACTGAGCAGGTTTTCGGTACTTAAGGAGCACGGGATACGTGGTGCCAATGTGCTTTTCGTTGTAGTGGTGGCAAACAATCTCCACATCATAAAAACTGAACTGGACTTTGACACGCTCGTTGGGCGAGGATAGGAAACAGACAGTGTAGAGAGCAATCTCGAACTCAGGACTGACACCAACGAAGATGCTCCCCTTTGGCTTTATACCATCCTTCCAGCTGAACTGTAGCGCCAGGATGTGTTTGTTCTCATCTGGCTGCAGTGAGAGAAGGAGAGATAAATGGCAGGTGATGAAATAGACATGAAGAGGATGGTGAGGGATGGAGAAATATGTAGGATTGTTTGACAAAGCCACCTCCTGAGACAGGAGACAAATAAAGATGTAGGGGAGACAAAACGGACTCATGATGGTTAAGGTGTCAGTTTTGTATTATCAAGAGAAGGAAAATATGAAACCGGGATGAAGAGGAAGTGAGAATGGGACAACACCCTGTCAGTGTTTCACACTTGTTATACACACCACTTGATGTATGGAAGCCAATTATCACCAAGAGAAGAGAAAAAACATGAAAAGGCATGAGAAAAGTAAAAATAGTCATCACTAAATACACAGTATATATACACAACACATTTTTGGGGTGATTGTCAGCTTACTTGTTAGCATTACATAGTATGTTACATAATGATGCACTATTATGTGGAAAGTGGGCTGAATCCCCAAATATGTGCTGTGATTTGCATTAGACTCAGATTGGAAAGACAAATAGAGAGCTGAACGGAGGGAGAGAAAAAGCATATTCATAGCAGGATGTGAGTTTTCTCATAGGTGTGCAAGAATGATGATGTGAAATAGAATACAAACTGTGCAAGTTATCTTTATATTTAAGGGGGAAGAGATGTGAGAGATTTGGGAGATATATTAGTATGCATATTTGACAAGGAATAAAATACAGATATTTAAATAATGATAGATTTTTGACACAATGTGGTCAATCTAAATTGAAACAATAGACAGACAGTAACATCATACCTGGGGTGAATGTGCATCAACGCTGTAGCCTTTGTAGTCAACGTGTCCCATCTTCTCTTGTAGGTAAAGCTGGATCCAGTTGTGAAAGCCGATGACAGTCCGACCTCCTCTTGTCTCTCCAACAAACACATGTTCAAATCCAGAGGAGTCTGGCCTGGAAGGAGTAAGCATAGGTGTCATTTAAGCTTCGGACACATGTCGCCACCTCTAGTCCCCAGTGCTTTTTAAATGTATAATTAGCTAAAAACGTTGCGTACTCAAAGAAATGTATAAAATGAGAACACTTTGAGAAATGGTTAAGACTACAATATAAACTGAGGCTAAGCAACAGCCCACAACATGTGCATGATCATTAGTTATAGATGTTATCAACATACTGTATACTGTAAACTTAACTAAAGATATTAGACTCACTACTGGTTAGCGCACTAGCTTGATGTCTAAACTTAGCATCCATTCAATTCAATAAATCATATTAACTCAGTTGCAATTTGGACATAATGCAGTGTTTCGTGGCCTGCTTCTTTTCTGTCCTTGCTTCAATACACATTTTCAGTAGTTCCAGTCATAGTACTATTGCTGACTGGATGTTCTACACAGAGCCAGTTACTCAGACGGTTACCATCATAGCACCAGATTCCACTGGTGAAGTTATTATTAAGGTGTTGTGCCAAATTTCACCCACTTGCTGGCTCCTTTCCTCGCATAAAGTTCAAACCAGATCCTGTACAGCTGCTCCTTGAATTTGGTCTCATTCTTTGGAGACAGGTTCTTCTCCACCAGGTATTTGTGAGCTATCTGCAAACAAAGGAGAATTTCCTATAGAATGTTGTCATACACTTATTTGCCATGCTTGAGATGTGACCTAAGGGATGTAACTTTGCTCCAGATTGAAACTTCTCAACAACCGATTGATTGATTGATTGATTTATTGATTGATTGATTGATTGGTTGACAGAAAATGTTTGTCCAGACATTCACATTAGCATGCTAACTGTTAGCAAGCCATTGTTAGGATTGCTTGTCTAAGATAGTGAAAATGGTCAACATCATACCTGCTAATCATCAGCATGTTAGCAGTGTTATTCTGAGAATCTTATATTAGCATTTAGTATAATATAACCTCACACACTCTTTAGCATGGCTGTAAACCTTTAGTATAAACGTAATGATTTAATAATAATTCAATCATTTTGAGCATCTGTTTAATTGTTATTATGTGAAAATGTAAACAACTGTGCAACTCTGGATGAGTTTGCATTTGTTTATTTTGCAGAAATTAGCCATAATGAGGTGGAAAACGAGATGGGACTTTATTTCCATTGGTTCCCACAGGTACCTTCATGGTGGGTGACTGAATGATGCAGTCCAGGAATTTGTGGTTCTCTGCCACCTCCTCAGGGGTTACAATTTCTGGTTGGCCGGTGTCACTCACATAGTTATCCAAGAGGGAAATAAAGGCTGTAGAAACAAACACAAGCTCTCTTCAAAAAGGGATTTCTGTTATCAGTCCTGAACATGGATACAATGACAATTATTATAGCTGAATGCAAACCTCTAACTCAGTACAGTATATACAGAAAAAGTCTCAAAACCAAATCAGCAAAAAATGCCAAATTCAAGGTGAGGGACAGTTTGTTTGTAGCCTTTATTTAACCAGGTGAGGGGAGACCTGCAGCACAATGGTTACACAAAAAAACAACAGAAAACAAAAAGGACATCATACAACATAATTACAGGGGTACAAATTAGAAACCTATTCACAATGACAGGTATCACATAAAATGTCATCCAGCCGAGCTTTAAAATGATACAAGGGAACCAAAATGCTCAGTTTCCAAAAATGTTGCATAGTGTTCCAAGCGAGAGGAGCAGCGCACATAAAAGCTTTAGTACCTGAAACAGTCCTAGCACTTGGCACATGTAAAAACAGTAAAGTAAAGCAGGTTGCTGGAGACTATGTATAAAAAAAGTACAAAAATTGCATAAATCCTTTTAACTGGGCAGCTGCCTCAAAGTGAACTCTATGTCAGCTGTTACATTACCAGTCCCTCTACAGCTCTGTGCTAGGGCAACGTGATGCACAATACACACTGAAAACATCACTAAACAAGTATTGCCGGAAAAAAATGTGTATCAGCAGTTTTCATGCAGAGAAAGTCTTGAAAAAGCCAGCGGTGATAGAAGAGAATATTTCGGTATCCATCACAGAAGACTCTGCATGCTCTGAGGTTATGAAACATGCTACTGTTCGTCATAAGGAGATTAAGAGTCGACAAAGAAGCTTTTCTCAAACGACGAGGAGGATAGTACCAAACAGACATATGGTGTAGTGGAATGTGGAGATTATGTCAAATGAAACCTTTTCTGACAGAGCTGTTGTGTAAGAAGCAGCCTCTTTCCACAGAAACAAGGGAAATACATTAGGACAGATAATTCACTTCTGGATCTTTTCCCTCATGCACTTACCTAAGAAAGTCTCCTTTTTGAAAATGTTCTCATCGACAAATGTAAACAGAGGAGATCCTGCTCCATCGTTAAGGTCCTCCAACGGCATGCTGTGAGCAGCTTTGCCCTGAGGCAGGAAGAGAAACACTCACATTTTAAAATTAGACTCAAATTGTCAATGCAAAGTCAATGCTTTCTGTTCCCAAAAATATACAATTATTTTCTTGCATGCTCCCATACATTCAGCATTCAGTCAGTGCATTACAACATAGATTCACTGCCACAGTGTTAAACAATTATCAGAGTGAAGGGAAAGTATATAGGTGATACAGAAGAGCTGATACATCAAACAACCGGAAAAAAAATCGATTATGTTGTCTCATCTGTGGTTTAAATTAAGAGCATATCATATATTCCTTTATATATTTTTTGTATTCACCTTAATATAATGTATATATTTAGTCATGTGACATGTGATACAATTTGCTAAGAAAGTTGGTATTAATAGGTTGGTATATGAACATGAGGTTCTTAAAATACAGACTCAGCAATTGTATATGTGTTTGTGTGTCTCTCACCTGCAGAGAGATCATGTAGTCCTTTCCGGGTTGGAGTCTGTTCACATCACTGTCCCACAGCTCCTGCATGATGGGCGACAGCTCTCTGTCGCTCTCAATCATGATGCAACCGCTCGATGTTCCTTTGGCTCAGTGTTTTTCTCTAACAGGAGAGGAACATTAAATAAGGTTCAGTGTAAGCAGCAGACGGTAACTAAAATGTTCAAGTTTTAGTGCTTTTTTGATTGTTATGTTTACTTTTTTGTATACAAACATCTGTTGAGATGGTAAAACATGATTTAGACTGATTTTGAGATCATGGAATTTATCTTTTACAATTTTTAAGGATTTGTATACTTTTTAGATTTTGTTTATCTTAAAAGTGTGAGTGTTTGTTTTTATCTGGGTTAGATAAAGATCATTTTAAAATGTAAAAAGTTATTTTCTTCACATTTTAATTCTGGGAAATTTCCCGTAACTTTCAGAAGATGATAAAATTGAAGAAACATTCCAGTGGGTCAAAGTAATCTCAAACCATCTGTTAAGGAGTTTGATTAAAGGCACTATGCCTTTTGTAATGTTGTTTTACATTCTGCCCATGAGACAAAAATACAACTTGATTTATTCATATTGAACTACTGCATGCTAAAGATAGCTCTTATTTATACAGCCATTTGTTGGCAGTGTATGGGGGTATTCATTTCGGAGTTTTAATCTGACAAAGACATGATGAATAAAAAGTTATTATATCTAAAATGCTTTAGAATTGAATTGTTGACTTCCTTATACACACAGATATTGTTAGAGATATGAAAGTAAAGCTTGATAAATAACCACAAAAAAGTCCATCAAAAGGCTATGATGAAGCAATTGTCTAGTTCACACCATTGTAAAAGACATAATAGCATCGCCCAGCCAGACAGAGTTTATCCATCCAACTCAACACCACCACAAAAACATGGCTGACAGCAGAACACATGACACTGAGCCCTGGGATCCTCAGCATTATCATCCGAGCAAAAACCCACTGACCTCTGTCCTGTGAGCCTGATTTTCTGCTTCAGCGTTGTAAGAGTTAGTGAAGTTCCTCAGTGATGGTCAGGTGCTGCTGGTTGTGGTTTCCTGTGTTTGTGACAGCAGGTGTCTTTATGGGCAAAGTAACAGCTCAGTCAGTGTATGGAGAAAGACAGGCAGGGGCTGGAGGGGGGGCGAACAGAGGGCACGAGGCAGGGGACAGGACAGGACAGGAGAGAGGGGCCATTTGAAAAAGGTTGTCCCCTGTCAGCAACTCTAACCAAAGGGATTACAACATGTTGTCGTCTCTTTTCAATCTCAGGCTAAAATGTGCGCTCTTTGTTTCTTTAGTATTTCATTGTTTGTCTGTCTGTCACAGTATAACCTCTGGAGTGCAGGGTAAATGTGGTTCATGTTTCAGGTAATAAGGCGTTGTAAAGGTGTACATAAAGCACTACAGAAAGCAATTTATTTTAAAAAACAGGAAAAAATATAATCTTGGGTTGGGACATTTCTAGACTAATCGAGTTTGGGAAACCTTATTCATGTGACCAAGAAAATACTGACACTGACAGCGTTGATCTATCACTTGTGTATAAGACTGCAGGTATAGCCCTGAATTGCAGGTGATCATTGTTTTGTTGTTTAATCTAAATTGTTTATGTCTCCTCTGTTAAGACTTACACAGGTGAAAATCCAGTTACTTTGTTATTCCTTTTCTTTATTTTCATCTTGGAAACAGAAGGAAAACAAGCTTTGCCAGGTTAAAAAAATAGTTAAACACATTCATTTTCTGTTCCAGGTTCACAAATCTGCAATTTAGATATCTAAATGATGCCTACATAGACTTGTATATAATATAAATATATGATTTACTGTGTTGTGCTTCTTATGCGATCTTTCACTGCCGATACCTCGTTTCTTCCTGACATAAAACACAATTGAACTAATTTGACTGCAACTTTTTACTTTTGGGAACCAGTTTCTATGTGACACATTTTTTCAGTACCTTTGGACCAATGAAACTCAGCGTAAATTCAACCAGGAAGACTGTCTATTCACTATTCCCATGTAACTTCTCTCTCTCCTCTCAATAAGTGATCGGGGACGTCACTCTCCAGCTTAACCAATCACTTCGCTCTATTCCCAAGAGCCTATCATAGTGCTCTGCCAAATATTTTAAGTCTGCTCTCCCCCCTCTGACAGCTGTCATTTCAGGTGACTTCACGCAACCCTCCTCCACCCCTTTTCACCTCCCGTGCCTCTGAATCCAGGGTCAAGGTAAACCACTCCTCTTCAGAACGACCCAACTATCCATTCACCACCATCAGTGTCTAGACCCCAGGGGGGTTTCATCGGATCGGTTCTACCCTCCCGAATGATACTTCCTGCACAACTGGGCCGAATCGTCACAATCACCATTACATTCATTTGTGTATCTTTGCAATAAATATAACACGAATTCCACTAGCCTGGCTGTGTGGTCATTACAGATTCTAATCTAATCTAAATATGTATTCTTACATCAAAACCGTCTCTCCTGATTGAAACACAAGTGTTGTCCAGGTGAGGTCTCAGTTTCCCAATTGATCTCACTGAAAAAACGTCAGTGTGTTAAGTGAGGGCAGAACAATTATGGCAGTAAAAAGGAGCATTTTTCAGAGTCAGATAAAATGAATACAATTAATAAAATGTGCATTTTTTACTTTTGTTTTAATGAACATTACGCATATTCATTTTAACAAGATTCTGCAGGTACTGTATTCAAATGTTTACTAAATTAGACATTCAGTGACATTTGATCTGCACTTAAGGGGAGATGGATCCATGTGCGTTCCTAGACTCATCAAAAGATTGTCTTTTTATCAGTCCCACCGGCATAAACTCTGAAAGTAGTCTTTTGGAAGAAGTGAAGAGCAAATCATTCAATTGTAGTAAGAACAGATTTCATGCAGATCTCAAATTCAAACAGAATGTATTCCATGATAGTCAGCCTTCATGTCAAATGTAAACAAAAGAAAATAAATTAACATTATACAACGTGTTTTTGTATATCTAGATAGTATCATTATTATATGGCCTCTCTTTGACACTAAACGTTGGCAACATTAAAGAACAGTTGTACAAAGGAGGATGTAAATAAATCAAATATCATTGCTGAATGTTTTGGCTGTTTACCAAGTGAGGATTTCTTTTCTCACAGCTCCGTCCCTGAATAACTCGACACACACTGTGATCACGGTAACCCCCCCAGAGGATTGACTGCCATAGATATAATCTGTAGTGTCCTTCATTATTTCATTTTGTTTCGAAAAATACATTTGACTTCAACTTCTTACCCTCAACCACTCCCATAAAATTCAACCTTTCAACCTGCCTGATTTGTATCACATGACGTGCAAAGGTGTGCTTTAGTAAAATAACTCATCTCAAGGAAAACAAATTAGAAAAAAAAATTCAGAGTGGAACAAATATCACATTTTGGCAATAGATACAAAAATGTCTAGATGATAATATCTGGGCGAAGTATTTCCAAGTGTGCCTCCATTGCTTTCCCTATGTTCGTGAATATGAAGATCATGCAATTATCCACCTTGAGCGTTGTTGAAAAGTTGTTAGTTGGTGGCATAGTTGTGACACTTGACATAAAGCCAGAAAGAAGTTCGATATTTAATATAACAAGCAGGATACTTATCATGACAAAAAGGGGCGAATGCAGTCCTCCATTTCCCTAGAACACGCAGTTATTGGGCAAATAGAGGCAGCCACGTTGGATTTACCAAACGCAGTCAGTGGTTGCAGTATCACCTGTTGATGATTGCAAGCCTGTGAGATGTCAAAGCTCATGAAAAAACCCAAGCGGAGAGACACGGATGATCTTTGAGCTTGAAATAACAGTTAGGTCCTATGACATTGTCATATCTAAAATATCTACTATAGTCTTGATGTTCATGAATATTTAAGAATGTGTATAATTATAACTGCTTTTATTTATAATCCTCTCTGAACAAATACTTTATATACATGTCATCTGTCATATATAAAGTAAATATAAACAACTTGTTTTCTACTCAAGATGCGTTATTATATTCCAAACATAAACCATGATGGTACATGTATATGGTTGAAGTGGCACTCCTGTGCTTTTGCAGGCATGGTACGTGTCACAGGTGAAGTGATGTGAGATAAAGTGCATTCAGATGGAGCATTCAGACACTGCCCAGGTGTCAGTCCTCTTCATCACTCCAGAAGGCATCTTCTTCTTCAAGATCCACACCTTGGAAGAGTCTGCAACAGGCAAACAAACAACACGTCAACCAATGTGTCTGTGTACAGTAAGTATCCGTGACTACTTCCCTGGTGCTGTGTACAAAACAATAGTAGAAAGAAGGTTACTCACTGGTTGTAACAGGGTGAATTTGGGTTGTTAAAGTGGCTGTAAGGGTTGACTTTGCTGAGGATGCCCAGACACAGCCAACAGAAGTATTGTCTACACGAGGTACAGGTCATCTTATTACAGCCATCATCTTTCTAGAAAGACACAAAGACAAGGCATTAGCAACAGAGGGATGAACAAACAGCAGTAAACAACAGTAAGTGAAACAATATGAGTCTGAACATGGGGATTTAAGGGACAGTGTGGTCTGGATAGACATCTTTTTTTAAGTAAAGCAAAGGCAGGGAATACACATTTGAGAAGCACTTTTTATTGTATATTTGCGATTAATCCCTATGGTATTTAAATATCAAATGCTCTGACAAAAGAAAATCAGTTAGATCTTTCTAAACAAAAGCTAGCTTATTTACTAAAACCATTTGGACCAGAGCTATGCATCAAGCACTGGCAGCAGATATCATTTTGAAAACATTCTTTGAACACATTCTTGCAGCTGGTGTATAATGTTAAGTAAAGAAAATGTTTCATATTAAAAGCAGTGAACACTGACCCCTGGTGATAAAGTCAAAGCCTGTTTTAAGTGCACTGAACAGCAGGAGGAGCTACCTGTATGTTGGTTCCACAGCGAGGGCAGCCTTTGCAGTTCTCATTGAGCCAGTCTCTGCTAAAGGACTCTTCCACTGCTTTCTGGATCACCCTCTTCCCAAAGCGCTGCTCCATGAACTTCTGCCCCGCAGGTGTGGCTGACAGGTATTCATCTCTGAGGTTACGCAATTCATCTGTGGATCAAGGCAGAAAACAGGGACAGGAACTCAGAGTTGGGATTGAGAAAATGTGGTACTCATTGATTCTTCTTTAAAAAACCATTATGGAACCTGAAAGCCAAAAGTTATTCACAATGTATCGACCCACTGTATATGTATGGATTTTTATTGTGTGCTTAGCTTTAAAAACTAAAACACCAAATCTGCAGTGTTAGTTCTGAGTCAATTGTTAGTAGTTACTTAGTAGTAGTTTTCCAAGCCCACAGTATTAATTGTATTTCAAATACATGGGGGCTTAATTACAATTTGTCTTCAACTAAGATGTTGTCTTCCAACGATTATGAAAAACAAGACAATTGCTTTTTATCATTTGTATTATAGTTGAATTATATTCAAAGTTCAAGGAAACTGTTTCTACAGTCAAGTAGTAATCTTGTTGGATAAGCCAACCTGTTGCTTATGTCCTTTATAAACTTTTGTTGTGAAGCAAACCTGTTTTTAGTGACCTCACCTGCAGGGAGTTTACAGTGGGAGAGACCATGATAGCCCATCTTGCACAGTGTACAAAAGGCATACTGGCAGGCTGAGCAAATGGCCATGGTTGAGTCTGGCTCCACCATGACCGCCGTGCCGCAGGACTGACGGGGACAGTACACCACGTCGGCCATGAGGTCCAGGCTGGACTGCAGCAGTAAGCGGTCATACCGGGCAAACAGCTCTTCATCCACCAGCTGCTTCACCTGAGAGACCACAGATCAGAATTCCTTTATTTGTCCATTAGAGGGGACATTTACATTATATCAGCAAAGAGACAGGCATGATGGAGACAAAATAAAGCAGTATCAAAACAGTATTTAGTAAAGTGAACAGTATTTAGAAAACTGAGAACACATATTAAAACATTTAAATATAATAATGGCACATTTCTAGAAAAATAAGTATATAGCGGCATTATAAAAAATAGCAAAATAAAAGGTGAAACAAGAAGAAAGAAATAAAGTAGCTGCAGTATGACAGTAGCAAATACTAAATTACCTATTTTAAATGATATAGTGCACAGTTTTATGTTACAATGGTTTATTACAAAAGATGTAGGCTTAATGTATTCCTCTGAAAAAAATGTATTCAACTGTAAACTAACCTTTGAACTATAAACAAAGACAGCCACATACAAATATGTTTCTACTTTACCGTCTCTTACCTGCGACGGTGTTGCTATGGAGGTACATTTGGGCTCAGGGCAGTTAAGGCACTGAACGTTGCCGTCCCGTATTTGGATCTGGAAGTATTCGGTCATGCAGGACTTGCAGTAGACATGTTGGCACTCTTTAAAGCAGATGCAGTGTGAGCCCATCTTCTCTACAAAGCAGATTCCACAGCCGAACACCTTGCTGTCAAACACCCTCTGGCGCTGCTCCTCGTCAAAGTCCAGGAGCTGAGGTAGGAGGTCGGCACGCGGGTCCATCGACAGAACGGCCCGCGGGTCCAGGTGAGAAGACAGGAACAACTGTGCTTCACACTTTTCCTTCTTCACTTCTCTTTTCTTCTCTTCAGCGTTTTCAGAAAGACTGCCACCTTGCGTTAGAGCTGAACAAAAATGATACAAAAGACCAACAAGTTTTTAGAAAGTTGCATTGTTTTGAAAGAACCAAAGGGTAATTACAGATTACCTAATAAGTAAAAATAATAATAATAAATACAATTTACTTAAAATAACAAAAATAAATACATTTGGCAGGAATATGGGCATAGATATGTCTCATAATTATTTGTGTGAACATAAAAAAAATGTGTGTGTAAATATGTGATTTGTAAATGTAAAACACCACAAATGCATTTAAAAGATTTGCAAACTCACAAATACATTTGCAAGTGTAAAACGGATCTGCACATATGCTAAATATGTTCACAAATAAAAAAAAGATCTGTGAATATCTCTTTAACATTTACAACTTTCAATCAGGCATTTGTGAATCCATTTTGTATTTGTCGACCAATAATGCGCTTGCGGATCTCAAATCTCATGATTTCAAAGTAAGAGCATGATGGTTTGTTTAATGCGCTGTTTTTTTATTATAATGAGCTGCGGAACGTTAGATGCATTCTTTATCACCATCATCATCATCATCATGTTTATAGTTAGTTTGTGTTAGTTTGGTTCAATACAGCATATATCGAGCACTTTCGTTGATGTTGAAGTGCAGGCTATACGCCACTTTCGGATCCCGGGGGGAGCAGCTGGCAGCGAAGCAGCCCAGATAAAACTCCTTCTTCATTGTTTGTTGTGTATTCAGTCAAGCGGGTCAAAGTTACAATGTAAAATTGTAAGTACAATGTAAAGTCCTGTGCTCTGCAGGTGCCGGTAAAGAGCAATACAATGACAAAACCTTTCCAAACAAAACAACTAGTAGGTAGACAGACAGACAGACAGACAGACAGACAGACAGACAGACAGACAGACAGACAGACAGACAGACAGACAGACAGACAGACAGACAGACAGACAGACAGACAGACAGACAGACAGACAGACAGACAGACAGACAGACAGACAGACAGACAGACAGACAGACAGACAGACAGACAGACAGACAGACAGACAGACAGACAGACAGACAAACAGACAGACAGACAGACAGACAGACAGACAGACAGACAGACAGATAGATAGATTGAAGGACAGATAGATAGATATCATATATAGATAGATACTTCATTCATCCCAAATTGTGAAATGTGTGGAAACAAGTATAAACACAATAACATTAAATACAAATGAAAGCAATAGACAGGAATATATGCATATACAGTGGAAAGGACATGATGAATATTATAACATTTAATGTAGCCTTACTATGAAGGCTAACCTAAATATGGTGCTTTTCTACAGATTACTTTATTACTGCACTGGTAAGGTAAAATTAGGCCGATTAATAAGATGTGAAGTGCTTTGTAACTTCGACCCGCTTGACTGAATACACAAACAATGAAGAAGGAGTTTTATCTGGGCTGCTTCGCTGCCAGCTGCTCCCCGGGACCCGAAAGTGGCGTATAGCCTGCACTTCAACATCAACGAAAGTGCTCGATATGCTATATTGAACCAATAAACTAACACAAACTAACTATAAACTATAACATGATGAAGATGATGATGATGATGGTGATAAAGAATGCATCTAACGTTCCGCTGTTCATTATAATAAAAAAACAGAGCATTAAACAAACCATCATGCTCTTACTTTGAAATCATGCGGAAATGTCATCATCAGCGGGCAATCACGTGGTTTCCAAAAATAACCGAGTGACACGAGTAGATTTTAGCCGAGACCGGCGGAAAATATGTCTCAAAATTCCGTGTGTGTAAAAAGACGATCCACAAGCAGAAATGTGAGATCCACGAGCAGAGATTTGAGATCCGCAAGCGCATTTTTGGTCGACAAATACAACATTTTCACAAATGCCGGATTGAAAGTTGTAAATGTTAAAGAGATATTCACAGATATTTTTTTAATTTGTGAAAATATTTAGCGTATTTGCAGATCCGTTTACACTTGCACATTTATTTGTGAGTTTGCAAATCTTTTAAATGCATTTGTGGTGTTTTACATTTACAAATCACATATTTACACACACATTATTTTTATGTTCACACAAATAATTATGAGACATATCTATGCCCATACAGGAACTGTAAACAGCTTATCTACAGAATAGCAGAAGAGCATATATTTGATCTACTTTTAAAAGATATTCTTGTATGAGGAATGTTTAGCTAATGCAGATGTATCACACACGAGCAAATTAATGTAACGAAATGTATCTGTACCTGTAGCTGCTTGGTCATTCTTCCTGCGCTCACTACATGCCTTACTTCCTCCCTTGATGAATTCAAGAGGAGTCTGGATGCCCAGGAAGTCCAGAGCCTCTTCTTTGAGGAACTGGATCCATGTGAAAAGAATCACACAGCCTTCGTTCTCCTCCCACAGCTCATCCAGGCGTCTGCACAGAGCGCTCATCTAAGGAGGTACAATGGAAAAGGAGAAGAAACATCAATGTATGGTAAGAATTTTTTTTGGAGTTATGACAAAAAAAAATAAAAAACTTAATTCATCTTAGTTTATTCTCAATAATAATCATTTACAAATCCTTCGATGCAAGTGTGGGTCATCTTTTGTGCAGTGAAGAATGATGTAAGCCACCATGAGTGTTACCTGTGCTCTGGTCATCCATTTAGAGCTGAGGGTGAAGACCGGCGAGGACGTGGATGGATAGAATGCAGGAAGCTCAAAGTTGAGCACCAAAGGAGGTAAGAAGCAGACATTATGTTCGGTTTGCTTCTCTCCTGCAACACAAGAGATTGGGTTACATTGAGACAAATAAATACATGTTCCTATAATAAGAAAATAATCTATCTATCTTGGCTACTTGACTCACTAACAGCTGTACCTTTGAAAATAACTTTGAAATCAGGAGGGAGCTCTAGACAGAGTTGGATTTCCCCCCCCTGTGCAGACTCCGCCTGGTGGAACTCCTCCTCATCGTAGATACTTGCTAAAGCAAGCAGCTCATCCTCCTGTGCTTCCTTGTCTTCAGACATTTACATTCCTGCAATAAAAAACATGTGGGACATTATTTATTAATATATAAAAAAGCAACAAAAGAATATAGCAATAGCCAAACAACAAGACATCAAACCCCCAGCGAGCTGACACAAATACCATCCCATCCCGGACACAAACTGTTTGTCCCGCTCCCGTCTGGTGGGAGGCTGTGGCCCATCAGGAAGAAAACCTCTCACAACATGAACAGCTTCTTCCCTTCCACCACTAGCCTCAATAACAAGGCACGGGACCCCTACTGACACCAGCCCACCCCACAAACATTATGCATTACAGCAGAGGTTTGGACTCGAGTCACATGACTTGGACTCGAGTCAGACTCGAGTCACCAATTTGATGACTTGAGACTCGACTTGACAAAATCACAAAACACTTGCGACTCGACTTGGACTTGAACACCAATGACTCTGGACTTGACTTGGACTTGAGCCTTCTGACTTGAGGTGACTTGATAATTTAATTCAGAGGTCTCCAACACGCCGATCGCGAGATGCCGCTAGAAGAGCAGACTCCCGTCGGGGAAAGCAGAATCTTCAGCCGCTCCTACTCTTGCTGAGAATCCTTGCAGGCAGGGGCGGGACTTTATTTAGCTGGGCCACCATGCGGCCAATCATATGCGAGGACACACTAGGATCATACCATTATGTGAAAGAAGGGTGGGGGGCACAGCAGGTGTAGTGGTATAGGCCAGCTACATAGAGCGACGGGGAGACGGATTTAAATGCAAGCGCGTCGGAAAAAGTCAAGAAATTAGTCAAATGAAAATAACCTTTTTTTTTGGGGGGGGTGGAAGTTCAGATCTTGTACTTGAGTAAAAGTACCAGCGTATAGGAATACTCGGTTACAATAAAAAGTCCTGCATTCAAAATGTTACAAGTAAAAGTACAAAACTATCAGCATCAAAATATACTTAAAGTACCACCTGCAGAGGGATCTAGATTCAGGTGTTCTCTTCCCCATAGAGACCGCCTCGCTGCACATTATCCCTTGCATACAGATAGATTGTGGGTCCCTTATAACATGTTGTACACAGTGGAAATAAACATTCTGGTTACCTCAACATCAGGGATCTTATCAATTAAACTCCTTCTGAATCAAACCGTCACGGAGAGCCTGGTCTTACTGATCCCTCTTAAAATAGAAAAAAACACGTTACTTTACCAGCAGAGAGAAAATGGATTATTAAATGATTAATGTGACTAATAAAGAGCAGTTTGATTATTAAGTATTATTCTGTTGATCGATGTCATTACATTTGGTGAAAAGCACATAATGACTTGTTTATGACTAGTTTTGTCAAAGTTTAGGACTTGGACTTGACTTGAACTTGCCCATCCTGACTTGAGACTTGACTTGGACTTGAGCGCAAAGACTTGAGACTTGACTCAGACTTGCAAAACAATGACTTGGTCCCACCTCTGCATTACAGTAATGCATATCATGTAAACAACATATTGCTCTATTTTAATACTGTGAGCAATGTTCTTCTCTCTGAATATATTTTGCACATTTCTATATATATATATATATATATATATATATATATATATATATATATATACACACACACTGAACAAAAATATAAATGCAACACTTTTGTTTTTGCTCCCATTTTTCATGAGATGAACTCAAAGATCTAAAACATTTTCTATATACACAAAATAACCATTTCTCTCAAATATTGTTCACAAATCTGAATAAATCTGTGATAGTGAGCACTTCTCCTTTGCCGAGATATTCCATCCCACCTCACAGGTGTGGCATATCAAGATGCTGATTAGACAGCATGATTATTGCACAGGTGTGCCTTAGGCTGGCCACAATAAAAGGCCACTCTAAAAATGTTCAGTTTTATCACACAGCACAATGCCACAGATGTCGCAAGTTCTGAGGGAGCGTGCAATTGGCATGCTGACAGCAGGAATGTCCACCAGAGCTGTTGCCCGTGAATTGAATGTTAATTTCTCTACCATAAGCCGTCTCCGAAGGCGTTTCAGAGAATTTGGCAGTACATCCAACCGGCCTCACAACCGCAGACCACGTGTAACCACACCAGCCCAGGACCTCCACATCCAGCATGTTCACCTCCAAGATCGTCTGAGACCAGCCACTCGGACAGCTGCTGCAACAATCGGTTTGCATAACCAAAGAATTTCTGCACAAACTGTCAGAAACCGTCTCAGGGAAGCTCATCTGCATGCTCCTCGTCCTCATCGGGGTCTCGACCTGACTCCGGTTCGTCCTCGTAACCGACTTGAGTGGGCAAATGCTCACATTCGATGGCGTCTGGCACGTTGGAGAGGTGTTCTCTTCACGGATGAATCCCGGTTTTCACTGTTTAGGGCAGATGGCAGACAGCGTGTGTGGCGTCGTGTGGGTGAGCGGTTTTCTGATGTCAATGTTGTGAATCGAGTGGCCCATGGTGGTGGTGGGGTTATGCTATGGGCAGGCGTATGTTATGGACGACGAACACAGGTACATTTTATTGATGGCATTGTGAATGCACAGAGATACCGTGACGAGATCCTGAGCCACATTGTTGTGCCATTCATCCACGACCATCACCTCATTTTGCAGCATGATGCACGGCCCCATGTTGCAAGGATCTGTACACAATTCCTGGAGGCTGAAAACCTCCCAGTTCTTGCATGGCCAGCATACTCACCGGACATGTCACCCATTGAGCATGTTTGGGATGCTCTGGATCGGCGTATACGACAGCGTGTTCCAGTTCCTGCCAATATCCAGCAACTTGGCACAGCCATTGAAGAGGAGTGGACCAACATTCCACAGGCCACAATCAACAACCTGATCAACTCTATGCGAAGGAGATGTGTTGCACTGCGTGAGGCAAATGGTGGTCACACCAGATACTGACTGGTTTTCGGACCCCCCCTGACCGCCCAATAAAGCAAAACTGCCCGTTTCAGAGTGGCCTTTTATTGTGGCCAGCCTAAGGCAAACCTGTGCAATAATCATGCTGTCTAATCAGCATCTTGATATGCCACACCTGTGAGGTGGGATGGATTATCTCGGCAAAGGAGAAGTGCTCACTATCACAGATTTTTTCAGATTTGTGAACAATATTTGAGAGAAATGGTTATTTTGTGTATATAGAAAATGTTTTAGATCTTTGAGTTCATCTCATGAAAAATGCAAAAACAAAAGTGTTGCATTTATATTTTTGTTCAGTGTATATCCCTACCTCTCCACTTTAATATGTAACATACTGCAGTTTGTCGTATATTGTCTAATTCATTGTACTACGTTTTTTTTGGGATTATTTGGTATATTTGGTTTAAATACTTGTCTTTAGTTTTTTTAAATGTTGAAAGTTTTTAATATACAAAAACATGTTTTACTTTCTCTTACAACTTATTTAATTATGTTTTTTTTTATATATTTGAACCACCATACACCAAAGCTAATTATTCCTATGTATTCCTGTTCCTATAATTCCTATACGTGTAAAAACAGACCTGGCAACAAACTCGATTCTGAGTAAACTATACACTGTTAAACACCAGTTACTACTGTCATTACAAAATTAGCATTTATACCCTAACAAAATATATGTATAAAGTCGTGTATTGATTAGTGAATGTAATGTTAGTTAACTACTGTTTACTCGTAGGTCTATAGATAGATATGCTATGTAGCTGTGTGCAAAGGTTGCAGCCTTTGTTGTTACGTAAGCTTTCCTTTGCTAACGTCAAGCTTTACTGTGCTCCAGAGTTAGCACGCTAGCAAGGGAAAGTAAACTTAAGCCATTAAAAAAGTCGTTGGCACTTATTGATAACTTAATACTCGTCTAAACGATACAAAATAGCGTTTTTGACAGGGGCTAACTGGAAAACTTAAAGCCAGTACACAGCTGAGTTGACAGACTATGACAAAAGTTATCACTTGGTGTAAGCACTTAAGCTAGCCAACAAAAGTAAACGTTATCCATACTAAACGTGGTCGCCATTAAATGATATATGAATATAATACTTGCATAAATAACAACGAGTGGGGGTGTTTACAGGGGTCAAACTTCTGCTTGGTTGGTGAACTAGGAACCAAACTTATTTAGCAGTAGGGACAAGCAATTAGCAAGCTAGCAGTGTTAGCTGATGTAAACAGAGTGACTATACCCACAGTCTGAGCTCGGCCCTGCTTTAATATTTCCTCTACGACAGCATCAAGCAATGGCAACTTCTGGGTAAAACTACAATACATATATTACATGCGGTAACACAGTCAGTATGTGGTTAATAACGTGTTTCTTACCTTGTCCGACCAAATACCAGTTACTCCTGCTACAGCTCTGACTGGACCCAGCGACTGGACCATGACAGTATGGAGGCAGTGTGTCACAGCGCCGCCTGTAGGGTTAGTGCAGCACATTTGTATTTCATTCAAACTATGTTTTCATACTTATTCACACAAATATTTACTGTGCTTACTTATTTTACGAAACTTGACATTGTAGGGAATATCATTTATGTTTACACTATATTTCAACAATGCTTGTTCTTGAAAAGAGTGAAGACTGGGGTTATAATAATAACAATAATAGTAATAATAATAAATAATGATACTCACATCCCCCTTTAATTAACAGAGGGAGATATATTTATTTTATTTCTTGTCAGTCCAAAATGTTGGGTTTTTAGTTTTAATTGAAACATATCCTACATTAATTATGAACTAGAGAATGCAATTCCTGAAGAAATTGCCAGTGGGAATGCTTTATGCTGAAAAGCTGACGCTAAACTGCTGAAATGTAATGTGTAAGAAGAAAGTGAATAATTTAGTTTGAAGTGATACATGAACACTGGGAGCTTGAATGTGTGATGAGAGAAGAAAAGAAAGTAAAAAGGCTTGGAAAAGCAGCAGAATATTTGAACTGCAAACATCTGAACAAACTTGATGGCGAATGATCTGTCGCCATTCCAACGGCATTTGATGACATCCCATAATACGCTTAGATGCGTTGATGGCTGCATCGTTACCAAACCTGTGAAGTTTTGGGGCGTTTGGAGCAGTTTCACTGAAGTTATGAGAAAACTATGTTTCATGGTGAGCATTGTGTTGCCGTGGCAACGGCATTTGAAGAAATCTCAAAACTGTCCCGTAGATGTCTTCACGGCTGGACTGTTTGCACACATGTGAAGTTTGAGCACTTTTGAAAATGTTCATAGGAGTTATAGCGACATCATGTTTTATGGCGAGGGATGCGTTTCCATGGAAACGGCATATGGTGAGATCTCAGATTTGGCGTAGAGCTGTTGAGGCATGGACCAGTGATATACAAGTGAAGATTGGGGGACGATTGGACCGTGTCGATTGGACTTACAGCGACATCGTGTTTCATGGCGAGTGGGCTGTCGCCATGGCAACGGCATTTGATGACACCCCATAATATGCTTAGATGCGTTGATGGCTGCATCCTTACCAAACCTGTGAAGTTTTGGGCTGTTTGGAGTATATTCACTGAAGTTATGAGAACCGTGTTTCAAGGCGAGCATTGTGTTGCCATGGCAACGGCATTTGAAGAAATCTCAAAACTGTCCCGAAGATGTCTTCACGGCTGGACTGTTGAAGTCTGCTGCATGTCAGTTGGAGTGATGACATCATCGTGTTCCATGACACAGGTGTTTCTATTTGAGCTAACGAGGTGTGCAGAGATCACAGGTTTCCATTGTTCTGAATGAGAGATAAACCTCTTACATGTGAACGTTTTGTGGAAGAACCGTAACAGATATCTGTGAAATTTCAAAACGTGAAGCATGTCAAGGAAGTTGAGAATCTGAAGTGTAATTTTTGTGTAGTTTCGGGTTAATAATGTGGCCTTTTTGGCAGCTTAACTAAAGGTGTGCGGCTGCTACCGTGAGGAAATATCTGCCTGAAATTACAATGGGCTTCAATGGAGGATTTTTGAACCTTTTTGTCACTTCATGCCCTCAAGAGGCATTTTGTTTAATTATTTTTTGCTTCATTATTTGTCATTTTTCAAGCTACGAGATGTTTTCCTACGTTTGTCATGATAAATTATGTCTCAGGAATGTAAGGTTTGGGAATTTTGGCAGTTTAAAAAAAATATATGAATGTGAATTTCAAGCTGTCCTCCACTCTAGCTGTGACATCACACACTCTAGTTAATGTTAAAATATGAAGAAAGCCTCTGTACCAAGGTCTGAACAATGTTTAATATCTCTAAAAGTAAGAATCAGATTTAAAAGTTGTTTTACACGAATAATCTCAGAAAGATGTGTAACATTTTAAAGTTGGAATGAGGTTTCTGAGTGAAAGTATGAATGAACAGTTAGCAGTTGAAGTCGCATGAAGATTTGTTGAAGTTGAAGAATTTCTCCATTGACTTCAATGGTTAAAAATGTGATGTATTATGGGATGTATCTCTGGAATTATGAAAGTTATGAAGGAGAAAAGTAATAGCAATCGATTCCCGACTGAGCTGAACGTTTTGATGTTTGAACGGAGTTTCTGCGATGTTCAATGCGGGAGGAGAAGCGCGGCAAAATAAGTCGGCGGAATAATAATACAAATTTCGTGTGTAGAAGAACAGTTAATTTCTTCTACACACAACATTTAAACACTAAATTAAATGTGTCCAAGTGTTTGTGTATCTAGGGATCAATTAATCAACAAATGGTTCAGCCTTATCATTGTCTGTCAAAATTACAATGATATTTCCTACTGGTACACTTTACAAACTAGGCTAAAGGGAAGAACTGACACTATTGCTTGTGAATAAGCCATTTCTTACAGCACACGCTTCTTTGTCAAGTTTTATTTTTGCTTTTTTTGGTGATGTGGCAATAACAGCAGCACCCTGAAAGTGATTTGTTAGACCAGCATTCAGACTGTTGAGTAGAAAAAAAGACAGTACAAGGCTACCAGAGAACAACCAACAGACCATTGCTTTTGAATGAGAAAAGCCAAACAATGAATTACTGCATGACAGTTACTTTAAGTACCTAGTTTCAACATACAATACAAGTATACTCAACACAATCTCCTTTCTTATTTTTTAACTAAATCAATCATAATCCAGCAGCTACAGTTATTTGTAGAGAACACATTTTACTATTTGTCATGTACAACTTGTACAATGTTCCACTGTTCCTATTCCATATTTAGACATACTGCAATATTATACATGTTCATGAATCCTGCGTGTATTACTAGTTTTCTTTTGCTTAGCCACTTGTATTACAATTCTTTAAATCTCACATTCTTAGCTTAAAAGTGCTCAGGAGATGCTGAACAAAAAATCGTTAACTTAATGGCCATCAAAGCAACACAGAGATAGCAGTTTCCACCGTACGCTCACAACTTTTAGGTCATAAAGTAGTCCTTTCAATATTAATATTATGCAATATTTTTGTATTCATCAAAAAACAGAAAGAGAAATGACATGCCGAGGTGGCTGACTGATGAATAGTATTGATAAGGGATGCGGCTCTCTGTGTTTTCTGTGTCATCGATAACAATCTCAGATGAAGGACAAAATCAGGGGCATGTAGCAGGAGGAGGTGAAACTCAGGTAAAACAAGTTATTCAATGTCCATTTCAGGTTGCTTTTTCTCTGGTGTTCCCTCCTCCGTGCCTGCAGGTTTGGCTTTGTCTGAGTTGCATGGCTCCTCTGTTCCCTCCTGCCCATTGACCGGCCCGTTCTCTGTCTTCTCCTCTTTGGGAGGCTCCACCTTGGGCTTGGGTTTGGACAGCACGGGGTTGCAGGCTGAATAAAGCTCCTGAACAGGGAAGAAGACAATATTTGTTAGAGGACATGTAGAAATATAGTTTTTTTTTTTACAGAGACCATGATTTACTCGATCAGGTTTTAAACCAAATAACGATATAGTGTACAACCAATTTGACAACTGATGATTTTCCCACTTTTTTTCCAGTCACAACAAAACTCAATAAATAATTACATCTAACGGGAGTGGATTTGATGAAGCTGTGGTAACAACCTCCAGTATTTCTATAATAATAATAATAATAATTTCAATTTATATAGCGCCTTTCACGAAACCCAAGGACGCTTTACAATGGGAAGTAACAAAACAAAAAGTAATAATAAAGATACATAGGCTGAAGAAAACAAAAACAGGAACAGGTTGCTGAGTACTGTATATTAGTTGAGGCCAAAGGCCTGAGTGAACAGATGGTGTTTGAGGTGTTTTTTGAAGGTGTCCAGAGTGTCTGCATTCCTGATTGCACAGGGGAGAGAATTCCAGAGGGTGGGGGCTGCGACACTGAAGGCTCTGTTGCCAAATGTTTTCAGCTTGGAGCGCTGGATGGAGAGCAGCCCTTTGTCAGAGGACCGCAGGTGACGAGGTCTATGGTCTATGGTCATATATCTGTACGTGCCTTTGAATGCACTCTTTTAGTACCTTAATCTTGGCATGGATCTCCCCGAATTTGACGACTGGGTCCAGAGTGAGGTCCTGATTATTCTGCTGGTTCATCTTGCTGCTCATCCAGACCATGGCGTCCTTCACCTGCTTGTCCACCCGAGTCACCTCCAGCTCATCCAGATGGTCGTACAGCTCATCCTGTGAGGAAAAGCACAGATAAATGATTACATCTGTTTGGTGATAGTTCATCAGTAGTCTGACATATAACCATGTGATGTAATAAATAAAGGTTAATCTAATCTAACTAAGCATTCATTTGGTGAGCAGACAAACTTACCTTTGCCTTGTAAGCTTCAACGATCTTCATGTACACCTGTATCTGTCTGCCAAGCTCCTCAAATGCTTTTGGTCTCTCGTTAGCTTCCACGTATCTCTCACAAATTGGCTGGCCCATTTGCTGTGGAAAAGAACATCAGGTTAAGTTAGAAAATCAGCCAGAGGGACAACACAATTAAAAAGTGACATTGTAAAGGAATGTTGAAATATAAATGTCAGCTTTCTATTACAAAATAAATGCAAATTAGCATTTATATCCGGTTTTGAAATAGGTGCACAAGTACCAAAACCTCTTCTCCAAATATCAGTTCATTATTGAATGGTAATATCAACATTTCACGTATAAACATGTGTGCAGTTACACACTGCATGCATGGTTACCTTCAGGTCACCCAGTTTGTCGATGTAAACTTGTTTCTGTTGGTCCTCTCCGTCTTCATACAGCCAGGTCTCTGTATCCTCCAGCTTTAATGAAAATGTGTCACGATCCTACAAGTAAATAAAGACATTTGATTCAATTCCCAATTCACACAATTGAAAGAACAAAACATGAAATGCATGCAGTACATTTGAATTTTAGAAAATATAAATGTTGGTGCTATTTTTGCATCAAGTGTGATTTACTCACA